TGATTCTATTTCTTCATTATCAGAATTAAAAATTTGTCTTGTTCTTTTATAGGATTTTTCTTTTTCATAAAGACTTTAATTTTGTATATTTCTTTCTTCGTCCCACTGACTTTCTTCCACCTCCCATAAATTTTCAGGTTCAATCCACCAGTTCTCTTCTTCTTGAAAATTTTCTCTTTCTTTTTCTTTTTCTTTTTTTTAATTTATTATTTTCTTCATTTTCACTTTCATTATCTTCATTATTTTGTTCATATACCCTTTTCTTTCACCTATTTTGTCTCCTATCCTCTTCTTCTTGTCTATCTAACCTCTCCTCATCATAAAAACGTCGAAAATGCCGATCCCGTCCGTCCTCTTCTTCCTCTTGTTGATTTTGACCTTCCCCTCTAGATTTAACACATTCTGCACATTCCAACTTCCCTCTCCTTTTTCAAGAATATTTTGCCCCCTCTTCTCTTCACTCTTCTCTCTCTCACCGAGTAAACGACGGCTACACCTCTCCTCGTGAAAATGCCAATTTCGTCTGTCTCCTTCGTGCCGATTTCATTCTTCTTCTCCTTCTTCTTGCCTATTTCGATCTTTTCCCACCTCTTTTAATATATTTCAACTTCCTTCTCTTTCCTCTAACCCTTTTTCTAATATATTTTGGCCTACTCCCTCTTTTTCTTTTATATTTTGTTCCCCTCCTCGTGAAATCGCCAATTCTATCCCCCCTTCTCGCGAAAATGTCGAAATCACCGATTGCGTCATTTCTCCTCGCGGAAATATTAATTTTCCCCTCCCCCCCAAATTTCGTACCTTTAATTCCCTTTCACTTCCCCCCTCTCCTTTTAATATTGTTTCTCCCTCCTCTTCCATTTCATTTATTTGTTTTTTGTAACTTTGATCAGATTGTAGAGATTCGATTTCACTATTTTCACTGTTATTAAAAGGAAGTTTTTCAATAAAAACGAAAGGTTTATCAGGAAAATTACTTTCAGCTTCATGTTCTTTCTGAGTACCACTCAAATGTAGTGAACTTTCTCCTTCTTCGACCATTTTTTTAATTAAAAAAAAAAAAAAGGAACGTGGGAAAATTAAGGTAGATTTAAATAAATTCGTGAAATGGAAGATTTATTTTTTTTTATTTTAGAAACGGATTGAAAGAATAATTCGCGAATTGAAGAAATAATCCACAGATTGAAAAAATAATTCAGATTAATCCTTCAATCCGTGGAGTAATCTTTCAATCCGCGGATTTAACATATAATCCGGATTATTCAGATTATTTTTTTTTTTAATTCGGATCTTTTAAACTTTTAAAAAGTGATTCGTCAATCCATGTTACCACGGATAATCCGTCAGATTGGCGGATTGGTCATCCATGGATCACATCTCTATTAACCATTAAATTTCGATTTCGAAGGGTTGCAACATAATCGATAACCTTTAAAATCTAATGTTGCGATATAATTTCGAAAGTTTTCGAATTAATATAATTACTGATGTTATCAAAGTTTATTCAAGTGTTAAAAGACATTTCTGGTGCTATCGGATAAAGTAGTCTATTTTCCTGTTCAAAAAGCTCGCTGGGCAAAATTTCTTCAGGATTTTCAGTTAAACCAATATTATTATGATCAAATAACTCCAACGGCACTTCGCTTGTTTCCTCTAACAGTACTTCATGAGATTCATTATCAAAAGAAAAAGACTCTAGAGAGAGGTCGTGGGAAAAAGTTGCTGCATTTAATGCATCCTGCATAATGTGGCGTATATCTGCCATCCAAATTCAAAATCCAAATGCCGAAATCCCAAATGCCAAAATCCCAAATCCCAAATTCCAAATTATGATTAGTATTTTTTGCCAAAATCCCAAATCCCAAATTCCAAATCCCAAATGATTTGGGATTTGGGCAACACATATAATGTGGTGTAAAAGGTTTAAGTACTAAACTAAATAAATAAAGTGGCACGTATTATTTTGGCAATAATAACTGATCACATGTTCACGTGAGACAATTTGTATAAACTCGATCATGTGAACACGTGATCATAGCATTATATAGAATCACGAGATATGGTGTTCAACACCACTGGTGTAATTTAGACTATTCGTTAATAATTAATAATTTTTAATATAATAACTTCTTTTTTATTTTAATTTTAAATAATATAATAAACTTTAATAAATTTTATAATGTAATTCATGTTTTATAATAAAATAAATTTTGGCAAATATAACTTAATATAATTGTAGTATTAATATATTGATAATATTTATAATAACCAATATTAATTACAATATCTATAATTAATTTCATCATATAAAAATAATTATGGCAACCTAAAATAATTACGGCAGTCTAAAATAATTGTGGAAGCCGAAAATAATTATAGTAGCCAAAATTATTTTCAGTTTCGGCAGCTGAAATTATTTCCAGCAATTATATTTTTGACAAATACAAAATTAATTAAGGTGCCATCTATAGCTTGAGGTATGTGAAAAGATAAATCTGGATGATCTTTCATAAAACATGACCACCAAGCTCTTTCCGGCCCTTTGTTAGTAAATGGATAATCATGTTTATCACTGCACACGATCTCCATTATACAATGATTTATTCCCGATCTTGTCAATCCAAATCCCAATTTTTGCATATTCTTGCAATAACCTACTAGTTGTGTTTCTTCATATGTACTCAGAACAGTTTCAGAATCAGGACGTTTGGGCAAACTATTATTTTTAACTGCACGTCTAAGAGTTGCCTCTGTAATATTAAATCTTCGAGCAGTTGCATGTACACTAGGATGTTCAGGGTTAGCAAGTATGTTGAGTGCATTTAGATGGCTTTTTTGGTCAAATTTCCAATTTTTTGATGTGGCCTTAATTTTGAGTTTATTATTTTTATTTTTTTGCTTTCACAGGTTTATTACCTTTGGCTTTTATAGAGGTTTTAGCTAACATTTCTTAATCAATGATTAGATAATTTTTTATTTATTAAAATTACAATTTAAATTGTGAAAAAATAATCAATCAAACTTTATACTGTAAATTTTGAATTATTTATAGAAAAGTTGTAAATAAACTAGGTCGCGAAAACGTAAATTTGATAGTAAATATTATGCGACGCACGGCGTGACGATAATTAATTGAATAAAAATTTACTATTATTTGTTAATAATAATTTTACATGACACGCGGCATGATACAAAATGTGGATACCAATTTTTCAAGTATAATATCGGTGAACTATAAAACTTTAATAAATTTAAATAATAGTAGTATTTATTACGCGACATGATATAATATTACGAAACAAAAGTTCAATTTAATTAAAAAAGATCACTTTAATAATGATATCTTGTGAGAATCAGGTGATTTATGTACCATATGATTCATCTTGGTGAGAGTCGCAATATTTTTAAAATTTTTTGCTGCGTCACATTACCCACTCGCGTCATAATACCCCCCCCTAATAACAGCGACAGAATTATCATCTAATATATAACTAATTTCATACTATTTTTTCTAGTTATATTATGCAAAATTATAATAAAATTGATACTAATGTCTTTATTTATGCTAAAAGGCATGAAGGTGAATGTATAGCTAAAGTCAGATCCAATTCAGATATTTATGGTTCTGTAAAAATCAACATTGATGGAAAGGGTCCTTTAAAGATATGAAACAAGATTATAGATGGTGCAATATTTGTCCTCATATATTTGAAAGGACATGTTGATATATATTCGAAGAATTATTACATAAAAAATTCCATCTCGAAAACCAAAATTTTTAAGAGGTTTACAACTTGATGGGTATAATGAGGAATTATACTTAGCTTTTGAATTTAGTGATAATCAACATTTTCAAATCATTCCCTTTTTCCATCACAAGGGTAAATTAATTTAGATACTCAAATTCAATGAGATTGGAAAAAAAGAGCACTATGTTTTAAGGAGGGAATAATTCTTATAACAATACCTTATTGTGTTATTGATTTGCCAACTTTTATAAAAAGCACCTTGGATGCATTCGGTTATCTTCCAAGAAGGTAATATAGGCTTTTCCTTAATATGCATTAATTTTTCTCTCACAAAAGGGTGTTGAGGGTCTGTTTCATCTAAAAATATTATTTCCAAAATTCACCTAACTTAACTTTGACCATATACTTTTTAAAACTGCTTGCAAGGAACGTGAGCTATCTCAGCGTTGTTGTTGTCACTCAGCACATGGCATGGGACATAAGGATATTGACCACTGACTAGTGTTGATCTACGCTGACATTAATACTTATAATTTAAAATCAATCTTTTTATGTAATATAACAAAATTCAATGAATATTTCGAAGAAACTGCAAAAAGAGAAATTTAATTTATATAATATGTAAAATGTTATATGTAAGATTTTATGTGTTTATTTCTGAAAATATTAGACATATTATTATTAATAAAATAACCAATTTGCCTTTTAATTCCTTGTTTAAATTAAAGAGAAAAAAAATAATATTAATTGAATCACTTCCTAAATAATATCCACTATCAATATTGTAATAGCTTTCAAGAATCACCATCTTCTGTATTATTCTCTATATCATAATTATCAGAATTATCATCATCTGTATCATTTTCTACATCGTGATTATCGGAATTATCATCTTCTGCATCATTTATATCCTTTGTTTGCATTGGAAGTTCACTGATTTTTTTTAAATGTACCAAAAAAGCTGTATGTGCTGTAGGTTCATGTGAAGGTCGACATACATACCCTAATGCTTCATCTGGTATTTCATCTTTATTTATCAATTCTTTTACAGAAACTTCTTTTGAATTCATCCTACTTCTAATAACGGTTGCTTTAATTTCCCAAGGTCTCCATTGTATCTCTAAAACTCTTTCCAATCCCAATCTCAACTTTTGCTTTCTGATCAATTGACATAATGTTAACACCTGAGTCATATTTGGTAAATAACAAACCATGAATCTATCAATTTTTAATTTTGAAATGATGGAAGGTAATTCGTTTAATGGTTCTGGCATATCTAAAGCCACTCCATCATATTCTTCATCTATAGCATCTATTACATCTGAACATTTCCCAGTGCTGAATTTTACGACATCTGAATAAATTCCACGAGAGAAATTCTTAAAAGCTTTTTTAGCGTTTTCACTAGATACAGGATCGATGTCAATAGAGTGTAAATGACCAAGTGGATATAGAGCACGAGCTAGATAAAGGGTTAAAGATGCATTTCCAGTACCGGCTTCCATAATTCTTGAGTAAGGGTTTATGTCAAGTAAAGTTATCTATCGAAAAAATTTGTTATAAATTTTGGGAACAGTTTTAATTGCATGAAAAAATTTAATGAAATGAAATATTACTATGGTGGAAGCATCCTTAGCATAAGTAGGTGTCTTTGTACGTGGAATTAACAGACAATATCTATTTAAAAAAATATTAAAATAAATTATTTGCTTATTTTTTTACAAATGGAACAAAAGTAAATATTTGAAACATTTGTTTAAAGTTTTCTAATAAATAACGTACTCTTCCAATGTTGGAAAATGAAGTGCATAAATTTTACGATTCTTAGGTTTTTCTAAATAATAATAATTATAATAATTATCCTAATGTTATAACTCATTTTTCATCTCATGCATTATAAAATTATTCACACACTTTGCATCGTTTTAATCATGGATCGAATCGGTTGCCCTATTATTAAATCATGTTCTATTACTTCACTATTTTTTTCTTTACTTTTACTTCCCCTTTTTAAAGGACCAATTAATTTTCTTTTTTGCCCTTCACTTCTTTTCGTATCACGTAAAATTACCATATCCCCTTCTCTAAAATATGATCTATCGAGTTTATCAAGGATATCAGGAGCTATTTTTAATAATAATAATAATAAAAATAATAATAAAAATAATTTTAAATTTTTATTCATTATTTCTTAAAATACTGATTTGAGTTTGTAAATCTTACCAATTCCCGTTGTCACATTTGGTATTCCATTAGCTAAAGTCGTTATCTTATGATTGGTCTCCATTTTCTTAAGTTTTATCGTCGTTTTTTCCTTCTTTGTGCTATCTTGAACAACTACTTTATTCGAGATTGATTTAGGTTTTTCGTTCACTGGAACCATGTCTCTGTCCCTCTCAGACATACTTTCTTGACCAGCTACATCTTTTGCGGAAATTAATTTAAGTTTTTTGTTCTTTAGAACCATGTCTTCTTCTCTCTCAAACTCTAAATCAATAGTTTTTCTCCTTCTAATCCCTAATTCTTTTGGAACCATGTCTTTATCTCTATCCCTCTTAAATTCTAAATCATCAAATTTTACTTTTCTAGGTTCCAGTTGTATAACCCTTTCAATGCCTTTTTTTTCCTTGGCTGGCTTGACAGGAAATCCAAAACTAGAATCTATAACTACTGAATCTCGGGCTTTATTTTTTGGTATTTTGATTTTCACGACGTCATCGTCAATACTTGTACGGTAACCTTTCTTTTGGATAACATTTTGATAAGATCTATAAGACCTAGGATACAGGAATCTACTTAATTTTGTTATTGTCGAAAAGTATTTCATATGGATTAAAAAAAACGCGTTGTTTTGATAATCTCTTTTTTAACACGTGTTTGATTATCCAATTTAAATTTTGGGTAAATTTATCTTAGACCCGAGGTCTAACACTCAACCTAAAAAAATTTATTTTTAAGGAAACTAATTTTATTGGTTGAAAAATAATTGTTAACATAAAATTAATATATCAAATAAATTTTAATAACGAATTTTTTTCATTAACTCAATCGTATAAGATATAATAATAATATTAAAAAATAATAATGTGAATATATAAAAAATACATAAGAGTTGAATTTTGAAAGTTCTATCTATAGTACAATTTTTGTGTATAAAAATAAAGCAATAGAAACAACAAAAAAAAACTAGAGGGACAAAGGGGGAAAAAATATACAACTCTATCTATCTGTACAAAGATTATTAAAAAGGAAATTCTAAAAAAAAAAAAAAATGGTTGTTGTGGAATTAGTACAATGAGTTTTGATGCTAAAGATTGATAAAAACTGTGCCAATTTATACACATGAAGGATGGAATTAGTCTAAGTAATGTCTTGTGTAGTGCTGTCAGGGTTTCATAGATTGCGAGAAATAAGATATATAAAATAAATAAGATATATAAAATAAATAAGATAAATAAAATAAATAAGATGAATAACAAGAAGGGATTAAATGACCTGTGCAAGTGCTAACTTTTAAATAGAATGATATTGTTATTTTTCATTTCCTCTTAAAAAAAAAAAAAGCCACATAACGAAATAAGAATGATTGAATGAAAAATATGCATCAAGTAAAGGAAAGATGATGATATGATGAGGTTTAGAAATCCAAACCTCACTGTGAAGCCCTAGGCTATTGAATGCTACAACAGAATATGCTATCCTCCTGATCAGTTGGTTCATATGAAATAGTATCTTGGGGTGTTATATTTTGACCAGTTTGAGGCTTATTTCTCGCAAAGAAAGACCAATCTAATTTTTGTTTTGATTGATCTTGGGTTAATGGAGTATCAGATTCACCCGTTGTACTAACAACATCATCTCGATCAGGTGATGTTTCAGATCCCGGACGATCAGGTAAAGGTTTAATGGGTAATAGATAAGGGCCAGGTGTGTCGCGTTGCATAATCCTTGCAGCTGGAACAACAACAATTGGAGAATTCTGTTTACTATCGAGAGAAACTAAAAAATAAATAAAAATAAATAATCAATATATATTTTTTAATCCAAGAAATAGTTAATATAAGAATTATATTATGAGAATTATATATAAATTATATAAATTATATAAATTAGATATTTGCTTACCAAGAACCCCTGAATCATTACCGGAACTATTATGTCTTAATATACGACCATCATCTTCTTCTTCAATACATTCTCGCCATGATTTTTTATTTTCTTCAATGTAAGGTAAACAGAATCCCATTTCTATGTTAATCAAAAAAAAAAAAAGAAGATTATAAATATGTTAAAAATACGTAAAAAATATGTATGAAATATTAGAATATTATGTTAAAAATTATTTATCATTTATTTTACCTGGTACAAGTTCACCAACACTTTTGAATAATGGCATAGCAACATAATCTATAAAACCTATTTGAGAATCTGATTGCTTTGTGTTACTGTACCTATCATTTACTGGAAGAATTGGTAAACCAAGTTTTCTTTCTAAATCACCCTGACATTTAAATTCTTCCAACAAAACATTTGACCAATTTTTGGCAATAGGATGTGGCCTCGCCTAATTCAAATTATATAAATTATGTTAGCATTCAATTGATTAATCGATCCTTGTTATTAAAAATAAACAAAATTTACCGCATTACTGATGTCCGCACATTTGATCAATGCACCAACAATAATATTTCTTTCATAATCGATCTGGAACTGTGTGTTTAATTCAAAATCTGCTGATTCGAATCTTTTTATCTGTTCGTTTATTTTTTCCACATAATCATTGTGTAATCCCATGTCGGTAGCAATAATTGCATTCACAACAATTTTACGAAATTCTATTAATGCAATATAAATATATATAAATACATATAAATATAAAGTCTATGTGTTTTTTTTTCTTTTCTTGAAAATGTGTATATATATATATATATTCAAAAATAAATTAGACAATATTTATATATTAATAATATTTATAATATTCATAATATTTACCAGTATATTTAGGATTATAAACAGTTTCAGTTTCATAAATCTTAAACCCAAATTTTTGCATCAAATTAAATAATGCCATTGCGTGAAAGCTTTCTAAAACTGATCTATCATTATAGACTTGAGCTAAAGGTGTATTCGATTCTATCTAAAATATTAATATTATAACAAAAGATAACAATAATTGAAAATATATTTATACATAAAATATTTATGTTCTTAATTATAAATAATTCAACTTACGAGAAATTTATTATTAACACCAGGATGACCGATGTCGTGACCAATTGAAGCCAATAATAATGCAAAAGCATCCGTATCTCTTAACAAATCATTGGGTCGATATTTTTGTCGATTAGAATTAGAATTGTTCACGCTTCGTCTTTTGTAACGAGATGAAAGTAATGATGGAATAAAATCCATCTCGCATAAAAAGTAAAACATAGCTTGTAATACATCTACAGCATGAATAAAATTATGATATGGATTTGTATCATAATAAGATTGTCTAAGAGCCAAAAGAAATCTATGTAATTGTTCTGTAATAAAGTATTAATAATTAAAATAATTAATACAATTAGCCCAAATTTTCAATTTGAATAAATTTGAATAAATTTGAATGTTGATTCTCAATTGTCAACAATAATTTTTAATAACTCGAGTCATGATAAAATTTTTATCACACATTCTCTCGACGATAGATAGATTCCATACCAGACGACACATTAAGTTCTTTCAACTCATCTAATTCCAAGACATGCTCAAAGATAATAACAACACATCTAAATTGTTCTTCTACAGTAAGATCATGTGGGTTAAATTCCCACTCTACTAACTTTTTTTTGAGAAAATTGGTCTTTTCTAATTCGGCTGCAGAATCTAATCTATTGATAATACAATATTATATTGAATATTATGTTCGATAATATATTAAATAAATATTATATTCAAAAATAAATATAATAATTGCTTTATAATACCTCGGAAAGAAATTAATCGTAGATTCTGATGGTGTATAACATTCGAAAATTGTTTCTGCTAGACTAAAAAAATAAAAATAAAATAAAATTAAAAATAAAGTTCATTTGTTAATTCAATAACGTATGTGAATCACCGTGATAAGTCATTCATTTTTTAACGAACCATTGATCTTTTGAGAAAACTTCTTGAAGTCTTTGTTCGTAGGAAACACTACACCTTATTAAAGGTTTTAATGTAGAACGGGATCTTTTTCCTATGATAGTAGATCTATGTATATTCTACAAAAAAAAAAATTATAATTATATTAATAATTATAATTATATAATTCCATTAATAAATATAGTAATAAAAATATTTTAAAAATACCAAAAATATAGTTTTTGCCACTTCCGGTCTAATAGGTTTTATTAGATAATCTACAGCACCTTTATTCAAACAGTCAACCATTATCTCTACAGAATCTTTACAAGAACATACTAAAAAAAAATAGATATATTAGAAATATTATAAAATAAATAGAATTAAAAGAAAATTAAAATATTAATTTAATTAATTAAAAATCAAATCAACGAAGCATACCAATTGGAATGACTTGATCTAATTTCCCCTGTGAAATTTCACTATTTATATACTTTAAAAACTCTAATCCATATAAAGAATCTTTTGTTGTAGTAATTTCTTTAAGAGAAACTCCATCGGTCATTGCTAAGAATGATTCTCGCCTTGCGTATAAATCCCGACTAATACTCTCTGTATGATCAATGTCTATTAATACAATTGTAGGATAACTTCCTATCTTTCTATTTTTTAATGTTGATAATGCTTGTGTTCCCGATGAAACCGTTATCACTATATTTTTTTTTTTTTTTAAAAAAAAATAAAATAAAATAAAATTAAAATTAAATAAATAAATAATAAATAAAACGTTTAATATTTTACTTTTAAAGAATATCTATTTTTGCATCCATTTTTGATATCACTTTAATTTACTAATAGTACCACTCAAAAATCAACTAAATTATATCTATTAAAATTTTTACTAAAATTGCAAAGATTTCCATAATGTAAATCTAAATGTCTAAACTAAAAATATCTTTTCCCTGATTTATTATCTAATATATAATATTATAAAAATTATAATTAATTATGATTTTCAATTCAATTAACAAATTAAATAAAAAATTCACCCTCTAGAATAATATAACAGAAAAATGTTTTAAAATCACATGCTAAATAATTGAAAACCACATGATCCATTATATATAAAACTTTATCTCGTTGGCAAACATGTTTTTTACGCGAAATGGAATCCCGATCTGGTGGTACCAATTTGAAATAAACTATTGAAATAGAATTTTCATTTATTTTCAATTTTTTTTCTTGAAAAAAAATCGATTTACCTTCAGCAAAAATTGATAAAAATAGTTGAATTAAATCATCAATATTTTGATTATTAACCTTATTAACCTCGTAAGTGCACCAGTCACTGTTATGGGCTAAAAAGCATTTTGAATTTCTTGAGTTGCCAAACTCAATCTTTTGTGATGGTAGATAGGTCTTTTCAGTGCAAGAACGATCAACCACAAGTACTGAACAACGACTTGGCTCCATACACAAAGGTGACAGAAGAAATTCTGTCAGAGTAGTTGGTATAAGATTTGGAAGCCAATGGAAAGGATTTTTTTTTTCTTTAATGATTCAATTTTGAAAGGGATTGCTCACTTGAATGAACGTTTTATTTTTTTCTACTAATTTTTTATTATTAATGTTTTAATGATATTTTTTTTTTTTTTTTTTTTTACAAAAACTTGTATGAAGTAAGGAAAGTTGGTATGCAAAAAAATCTAATTTGTATTTACAAAGTGCTTTTTTTGTGTAATTGTGTAATGTTCAATTTTTATTCTATAGGAATAACTATTTGTGTTCGAGAGAGGTGAATGTTGTATGGTGCTTTAATTGTGCGGTGTACGCGTCACAAGTATGCAAAAAAGATTGTTACAATATTACTGTCTATTATATATATTTCCTTATATTACTTTCTTATAATAAATTCTTTTAGTAATCACAAATAAAAAAAAAAAAGTGGTTATAAAGAAAAAATTTATGTACAAATAAGGTGATTATATGATTATATGATTTATAGGGGAAATTACAATATATTCAACTTTGACAAGTGTGCAAGTTATTTATTTCTAATAAAAGTAACTTTTTGAACAAATATTTGGGGAATTTAGAATTACTGTTGTGATACGGAATGACAAAATATTTTTAATTGGTCACATGTTAATCCTAATTTTCTAAAACCTTAACATTAACGTTGACACAAACAAATGTTTATTTTGAATAAAAACCTTAAAAAACAAAAGCTTTTGTAATATTAAAGAATCAAATATTATTGTATTACTATTTTAATATATTGAAATTGTATTACTATAATAAAAATATTATAAATTTTTAATTTTCTAAAATAATTTTATGTTACAAAAAAAAAAAAAAAAGACAGATAACAATAAATTAAAAATATTATTGTCAAAAATCTATAATAATAAATTAAAAATAAAATAATAAAAATCCCAACTCAGAATAGAAATTTTTAGATAGGGGCCATTTTATTATTCTTGATATTTTCGGGCATACGTAATTGATAATCTAAAATTAATAAAATTAATAAATAAAATAAAATTAATAAATAAAATAAAAATTTATATATATTAATTAAATATTGAATATATATTAACTAATATATAATAATCTAATATAAACATAATAATAATTATATATATAGATATTATTTACCTCCGTTTTGCGTAATATATCTAACCCATGGTAAAGCTTGATATCCACTTTTTTCCACAATTTTTAAGTAACGAACTTGAATTCCGGAAGTGGTGAAATAAGGAATTTCAAATTTAACAGCAATTGGTGGTTTCTTATCTGTATCATCAACTAGAAATTATAATATTTCAAACAAATTAAATGACAATTAAAATTAAAATTAAAATTAAAATTAATTAATTAAAATTAATTAAAATAATTCTTACCATTTTTTACTGAAGGCAATCCAAAATGTGCTCGCATTAAAAATTCTTTTCCACCTTGGAATTGTTTAATTTTCCACACTAAGCATGACTTTTCTGGTGCATATTGAACAGATCCAATACTACTCTATTATAATAATATATTATAATAATATGTTATTATTATATTATTATAATAATATATTATAATAATAAGTTATTATTATTATTATCATTATTATTATTATTATTATTATTATTATTATTATTATAATAAATTTTTATTCAATTTTTATTCCAAAAAGTATGAATTAAAATATTAAAATTTTTACTCTGAATTTTGGACTATCAGCATCATCAGGTACGGGAACATGTATTTCAACATTGTTTGCCGTTGAACGTCGTTTAAATTGAGCTTTTGCTTTAATCATATATTCAATTCTAGAACCTGCATAATTTTCTACAAGTGCTTCAACCCAAATCAAAGGTTTCACCTAAATATTGTGTAAACCTAAAATTATTCCCATAATTCAATTTTTATATTTCAATATTCTTAAAATTTTTATTTTTATACTTATTCACCTGTGTATTTAATCGATAACTCATCAATTCAAATTCACCATCAGGTGGTATAAATGAAATTGTACGATCATTTTCAAATCGTGATAGACGAACACATTGATGAAATTTAACATCTTCCATTTCAATTGCTTTCCCTCGTGAAGGTGATCGTCCAGTATTTTCAAACATAACCTTATCATTTAATCCAAGTCTTAACTCTGGCATACCACTTAAATAACATTTCATCTTAATTACTCCAAGAATTTCACTGCGTAACACGTTCCCATTGGAATTAACTAATAAATTTACGGATTCAATGACATCCAAAAAGACTTCATTTTTTCGATGTTTTATTCCCTCTGAACGCCATGAAACCGCATTCGTCACTGCCATCGGTGGACGAACTTGAATTTCCAATTTATGTGATTCTTGTGTTATATATCTATTTAAAATAATAATAATAATAATTTTATGAAGTGTTAACCAATATTATATAATAATTTTTCAAAAGTTTATAAATTATCTTTTTTTTTTAAGAAATACCCTCGCGTTAGATCACGCGATAGATCTCCAAATAATTATTAAAATCTCACTCTTGTAATATTTTAGTCTCGGTAGTCTGAGGATATCCAAAATCCATCATTTCATCGAGCAATTCGTAAATAATAACAAAATTATCTCTAATAGATTCTTCTTCGAGCTCTTTAAAATATTCAGTAAAAACCTTAAAAAATTAAAAATCAAAAATTTAAAAATTTAAAAATTTAATATTTTAATATTCAACTTTTTTAACAAGAATAATAATATCAATTAATATTAATAGTTTACATACCTCCGTTAATTTGTGAAGAAATAATAGTATCATGGTAGCATTTGAGTTTTTCTTTGTTATACTCAATACTATCAAATTCATCAATATCAATTTGGTTAAGGAAAATAAATAATTACATAAAAATCTCGAGAAAAAAAAAATAGATCAATATAAAAACTTCAAATCGTTACGTAAGGATACGATATAAATTATTATGGCGTATATATAAATAATTTACTCCTTCATGAGTAAAGCAAGGGGTTGGTGCTTGCTGTTCCTCTTCTGCCTCCAATACTAGAGGCATAAATTTTTCAACGGCCGACATTGGAATATCACCACGATAATTTCGGGAAATGAGAACTTTTCCTTTCAAATCGAGTACAAACACTGCGGAAGCCATCTTTTTTGGTCGAAGTAAAATCAGTTTTTTTTTTCCAAAACTGATAACTTCAAAATTTAAAAATAAAAATTCAATTCAAATTTCTAAAATCTAATTGGTCTAACCAATCCCGATCAAAAAAAATTATTATTTGATGTTCATCTAAAAAATATTTTTTGAAAAAAAAAAAAAAAAAATGACCTCTTCTGGAGTAATTCTAAAGGCTGGTATATTAGGTGCAACTGGTACAGTCGGGCAAAGGTTTATTTCTTTACTTTCTCAACACCCTTACTTTACTATTCAAGTTATTGGCGCTTCTTCACGTTCAGCTGGTAAAAAGTATTCTGAAGCTACAAGATGGAAAATGACTACCCCTATACCTGACGAAGTAAAAGATATGATAGTTCAAGAATGTAAAGATGAATTTTTTAAAGAATGCGATGTGATATTTTCAGGATTAGATGCAGATGTCGCTGGCTATATTGGTTGTCAAAAAATTATTCTTTTCTGACATATTGACATTTTTTTTCTTATACTGCTAACTCAATTTATTTTTATTTTAATATTTAGAATCGGCTTTCCTTAAAGCTGATTTGGCAGTATTCTCTAATGCTAAAAATCATCGTCGTGATCACACAGTACCACTTGTCGTACCTACTGTAAATCCTTCACATTTAGATTTAATTCCATATCAAAGATCTTTACATTCTCTCCATAAAGGTTTCATCGTCACAAATTCGAATTGTTCTACCACAGGTCTCGTGGTTGCTTTGAAACCCCTCCAAGATGCATTTGGACCTTTTGAATCTATTATCGTTCAAACAATGCAAGCTATTTCTGGGGCAGGTTATCCTGGTGTGGCATCATTAGATATTCATGATAATGTTATTCCATTTATTAATGGTGAAGAAGAGAAAATGGAATATGAAACCCTTAAAATTTTAGGTGACATTAATGAGACAGCTACTGGATTTAATAATATTTCCTTTACCAAAATTTCCGCAACTTGTAATCGTGTACCAGTGGTTGATGGACATACTGAATGTGTCTCAATTAAATTTAAAAAACAACCATCACCATCCATAGAACAAATTATTAATACATTAGATTCTTATGTATCTGAATCACAAAAACTTGGTTGTTATTCCTCTCCAAAAAAAGCCATAATTTTTAATATGGATCAAGATAGACCACAACCAAGATTAGATAGAGATAATGGAAATGGTTATAGTGTCACTATTGGTAGGGTTAGAAAATGCAATGTATTAGATATTAAATTTACTCTCTTGGTGCATAATACAATTTTGGGAGCAGCAGGAAGTGGAATACTGAACGCTGAAATAGCATATGCAAAGGGATTAATAAAAGTTAAAACTTAATTTATTTATTTTTAATTTATACATTTTGGTTATTTTTATTCAAAATAATTAAATTTCAAATTTGTAATAATAATATCATTATCAAATAATCATAACTTAATTCTTGAGAACTGCTACACAATCTAATAATAATTATTATTATAATAATAATAATTAATTATAATAAATGCAAAATTTTCTCATTAAATTTTTTTTTCTTACTTAAAAATATGCTTTATATTTCCAATTTATGAACATAAACCTTCATTCGTTATACTAAAATGTAATAAGTTATCAGTTATATTATTATATTTAAGATTCCCACTAAAATGTTTAAATATTAAAAAAAAAAAAAAAAAAGAATTAAAAGACAAATAAACATTAAGGGTTTAATCATATGGAAAATGATTAATGACTTACCTTTTTGGCTATCATACCCTCAGGTGGTTTTGTTTCCACTTTGGCTTTGTTGACCTCACTCCAATTTGTACTTAAACATGTGCCATTACTTTCCGTGTAACTTTTTAACATCGCCTTCTTAGTATCATCGTCTGCATCCCGATAGAGTTGTTGAAACAAAGAGTTCAAAGCGGCTTCACCTTCTGGTTTATCTTGCTCCTTACTAATTTCTTTTTCCAGTTTATCCCAATTCTTGGCGTGTTTCGCAGATGAAGGATAAGATAATTTTTCTAATTAAAATGAATAAAAAATATTAAAAATATTTGACCACATATCTATTCTACACATTCAAAATGGCTAATAAATAGAATAATAAATGGTTCGGAGAAATTTAAAGTTTTGGTGGGATGATATAAATATAATATTAAAAAGATTACCGCTTGGTTTTTCGAGTGATCCAGGAAGCGCATCTTCACCTTCTAGAACACCCCATCTAACTCCAATATTGGCCTTTTTAATCTTGATTTCAATTTTTGTTGACAACACTTCAAATTTGCTTTCTTTAGGAGAAACTTCATGAGCAAGTGGATCAAGTTCCAAAGAATAATCAGATCCCGTAGGCATTTTGACAGTCACTGAAACCTATAAAAATATATCATAGATTTACTAATCACGTTTATTTTGTTCCTTTTTTTCCTTTAAATGCGTCAAAAAATATATTTAAACATTTATCCGTACCGATCGATCCGCAAAATAAACATCTACTGCTTCTTTCTTTAAATTCTTGATAAAAATGCTAATAATAACAAAGCTTTCATTTTGATACCACTCGTGTCTATTTTAATTAATTAATAACGACAGTAAGAATTTTATTCAAAGTATGATTTTCAGCGATATTTCATTTAATCTTCACATTATTTACCTGACACGACTTTGAGATAAAAAAGTTGATGATTGTTGTGTTGACATCTTTATCGTTGAGTGATATTAAACCAAAAGACATAATAATGTATGTGATACAAGGATTTAAAGGATTTGCAATCGAGTATTCTGGAAAGATTTCATAAATCGGATATATACCTATTAGGGCCAAATTTGTTTCATATATATATCATGTGATTTTATGACTGGCACAGCAACTTATGGTTATTTTTTGAGCGTCCTTATCCTAAACCCCCAGTTCAGGATGAAAATTATGAACCCCCCGGGTTCAGGCAAATTAACCTATACCCTTTCCTTTTTTAGTAATAAAATTTTATTAAAGAATTTATTTGCTATATATTAATAATTTTCTATATTTGTATTTTATGAATTAAATAATGTATGATAAAAAAAAAATAAAACTTTGTAAATTTAATATTTTTATTTTTTTCATTTATATAATATATGATAAAAAAAAAATAAAACCTTATAAATTTAATAATATTTTTATTTTTTTCATTTATTAAAGTTCTTACGTAAATATATTACATATTATCAATTAAATTTAATAATTTTAACTATAATAATTTCGATTAATTAATTTCGCTTATAATGATTTCGATTAATTAAACTATAATAATTTTGATTAATTAAACTATAATAATTTCAATCAATTAATATTCTAAATTTGCAAAACATTAAATTTCAATGTAAAATGATCACGTACAATAGAAATTAAATAAAAACATCTACCTTTAAAATTCTAATTATATCTTCATCATTATGCACATATAATTCAAAATTTACATTATCAATCATTATTTCTTTTGCAGTATCTAAAGAAATATTTCTATAATCTTCTGCGATAAGTCTGATAGCTATTTCTAGGACAAGTACTTGAGTAATATATTGAGATGTTGATTGTGGCTTACAAAAATTTGTAGTCAATATACCAGTTTTAAGAAACATTTTATTTAATATTTCTATAATAACCAATAAATCCTTCAAACCATAATATCCTGGCTAAAATATTAAAGTTGTTAATATTTTAATATTTAAAAATAAAGTTTTTATATAATATGTAATTAAAATTAAACTCACTTATATTAATAGATTGTTAAATTTTACTACACATATTTCTTGAATTTCTTTTATAGTATTTACCCAATATTCACTATATTTTTGACCCTTTATAATTTTTAACAGCTCAGCTCTTATATTTAAAATTCTATTAGGTAAATTAATAAAATCAATATTTAAAGAATATCCATTTTCTATTCTATAAGGAATAATTACTTCTTCTCCATGATGAATTCTACAAAATTTATACTGTTTAACTGCAGTATTAGTTGAAACTATTAAATTTAAAAATAATTAATTTTTTTTTAAATAAATATAAAATATAAATATAATTTTACAATAAATAATAATATAAACTTACTTTTTCTTATTTTAATATCATTTAAATATGTTAAAACTTTTGGAGATAGTGAATTTAATAGAATTGTATTATAATATGGGCATTTTTCATTATTTTAATTCTCAAGTTCATTTATCGCTATTTTCAAAATGATCCGGTTAACAATTGGTTGATCAAAATAAAAATTTATTTTTCGAAAACCAAAATCAGAAATACATGATCATCATGTGATAAATATTAACCAATAAAATAATTAAATTTTATTATAAAAAAAATTATAGTTTCAATATG